GGGGGGGGGATTTGGCTTGTTAAATGTGAGAATCTCAGGACTCATTGTTTCCCGATCAAGATATCAGAAAAAACCATTGTGTAACTCCACTTGAGTTTGACCTTTGATTCATCTTTACTTGAAGAAACTTAACATTCAGGGAATTTCTAATTAAACTCTTGATCAAAGATTACACAAATATGCATTTTCCTTGTTTTTCACCTATAACGAAACTTAAAAAATAGAGGCTTTTAAAGTGTGATTCTTTTCTCAAAGGTGCGTTTAATGTAGAAACGTCAATCGGTCAGTAAGTCACAACTCAATTTTCATAAAACTTGATGTCAAGATTCAATTCAAAATCCGATCTCAATTCATCCATGATTTTGGATTCAGCACATAGGGGTGCACATTTTAGGATTTACTCCAGTCTGCTGTAGGTGAATAAAGGCGGTGTGGAAAACACAATGGTGTGATAGTCGAGTAAAGAGTGTCAAAGATTATGACGTACGTGTTGGTAAACTACAGATAGCTGCCTTTTTATTTCTCACAGACTTTATAGATTTCAAAATGTTTACACAAAATGACATTTTTGTCGGACCTAACCTATTTTAGGATAATGATTCATCAGTATCAGTATCTAACGTTGTATGTCGTAAGTTATTTTGCGTATTCGGCCTCTCTTTGGTGCGGCGATGACTTTAAACTTGACGTGGTGGTCTGCGTGAAATGTGAGCGCCACACGTGTAGGTAGTTGGTGTTATTTTTGTATTCCTCAGCAGATCCAGCAAAAGCTCCTGTTACATGATAGTCTGTTTAATGGTTGTGTTTTTTTGGATTTGATTATGGGATGTCGGGCGGTTCTCAACCCGAGCCGTTGTTGGCCGAACAGGAGGGGCTGTTTTAACTCAGGAGATAAAGGGCCCGTCTAACTCTGTAACAGCTGATCACCGTCAAACAGACAGACTGAGAAGAAGCGTTTGTTTCAACCACCTGAAGCCGCCTGATGGGTGGGGTTTAAACCTCCAGGACAATACAGATTGGTAATCTTGGCAATAGAAAGACAATCCTCAGTTATCTGTCTGTTCGGCCGGTTAACAGAGTTGTTTTACTCTGATCCCAGATCAGTCATTCAATGCTTGAGTGAGAGGACTTTATTTTGTCAGGATTGAAATGTGAACCACATGAGCATAACTGTAGAGGAGATTATGTAGAGCAGCGAGACTGGATCAGAGGTGACTGTGAAACAGAGCAGAGACAGAAAATTAGATTATAATATATTGGATTATATTATATTAGGGTTTATAGTGTTCTGTCTACTGTTTGATATTCTCTCCGGGAGGCTTGCCATTATATTTTCCCATGTAGAGGTTTTTACCTCAGCTGCTTTAATCTGAAACAGTTATTTTGCAAATATGATCTTGCAAAAGCAATTAATGGTTTTGGAAATTATGTATTTTCCTTATTTTGAATTACATACAGTACATTAAACATCTCCTCATCAGGATTTGATGAGAAGATCAGATGCTAAGGTTGGACAAAATACAGTATTCTTACAGTCTCAGTATGGTTTGGTGTAGACAGACAGGATAGATAGATAGATAGATAGATAGATGGATGGATAGATGGATGGATGGATGGATAGATAGATAGATAGATGGATGGATGGATGGATGGATAGATAGATAGATAGACGGACAGGATAGATAGATAGATAGAGAGATAGATAGATGGATGGATGGAAGGATGGATGGATGGATAGATAGATAGACGGACAGGATAGATGGATGGATAGATAGACAGACAGGATAGATAGACAGATAGATAGATAGATAGATGGACAGGATAGATAGATAGATAGATAGATAGATAGATAGATAGATAGATAGATAGACAGACAGACAGACAGACAGACAGACAGGATAGATAGATAGATAGATAGATAGAGGTATAGGTACTTTATTGATCCCAATTTGAGAAATGTTTGCGTTGCAGCAGCATAAAAAACGGCAATGTACATAAGAGAAATTAAGAAACAAGCAACAAATAGTCCAAAATATTTCAGAAATAGAAATAAAATAGCATTAAAAATTAAAAAAGTAAAAGAATATAAAAAATATATATATACATGTGGAAATACAAATTTCCAGTAACAAATATAATGCAGGATATTATTGTGCAAGAATGGTTTATTCAATATTAAATAGAATATGAATGTAATGTATGTGTGCAACGACCACTTTGCCGGATGTGTAAGGCCCAACAATGACAATGTATTTAAAAGCTGTTTGGCAGCTTTATACAAAAGGAAGCATTAACCTAATTGACATTGATTTAAGGCTTCTCGTATACACAAGAGTTTGTTGCTAGTGAGTGACCTGCAGGTTCTGCATGAACAGCGAACAACCAATCAATGTTTATCAATTCATCAAACAACCAAAGCACCTCAAAACCTCAGCAATTAAATAAAATGCAAGAACACACTTGAACACAATGAAGAATAACTCCCATCCATGTATTGGGAAACTTCTTCTGATCTGTTGAGTCTCTGGTTTGACATTTACGGGATACGTGTCTGTGGCTGGGACAGTAAGACTAAGTGTGGGAGACTCTGTGGGAGTTTTTATTTCCACTTACCGGACAATGCCGTCTCAAATTCCGTGATTTAAAGTTTTATTTTGACAGAAAGGTAGAAGAGCTGAATC